TTCTTTATGCAGATCAGATGTTGAGAAAAACTTTGCTGAGATTTGCTTCGTTCTGTCTCCCTTGATGTAGCCTTCCTTGATTTGAGCTATGCATGTTGCGTTATCTTTATATATAATCGTAGCATTCTTCTTGATTTCTTTCAAATTATATGCTCCTTGTATGAGATTCATCAGCAATCTCTACCACGCTCGCTCTCGATCACTGTCGTATAATGCTATCAGTTCGGCTTGATCACATGCTGTTGTTCGTGCTTCCTCAGTTGACTTCCAAGAAAAGTTGTATCACCATAGGTGAACACATTACCTGTCTAATTTCACACTTAAATTTGGTACTTCAAGACCAAGTACTTCTTCGCCCTCTTCTGGGAGGCGATTAGAATGTTATGTATATATATATATATGAATGAACAACCATGGGTATGTTCAAAAGACTAGCTTTATCCATATTTCAACGTGTTAACATCTTCTGGACGTGGTTTAACTTATGGACAAATGGGCTATCATATAGGTGTTTAAAATATAATCCTAGATATAATTTATGTCATGTCAAGATCTTCCATCTCAAATTCTCTCTTCAAGAGTTCAACAGTTTTTTTTCTATCTCTTCAGGAGATCTAATGATATTTATACGTCGACGTAAACTGCTATAATAATGAATATTGAGAGCGATCCTTGAATGACAACACATAGGTTGATTTCAAATTTGTTATTTTTCTTTTTCGAGATATTCACTAGGTCAATTGTACCACATATGACCAGATTACTTGAGACCATTCCACGATCTCTTCACACATATCTCGATGTATTAATTTTATTGCTTCTGGCATTTTGAATCCTTTAGGGATTATTATCACACAGATGTCGATTTCAAGTGTCCCTTATAATTATGTTAACGACATCCATATCATTTATTTGAAGTCCTTTTGAGATTGCGAGGCCAATTAAAATTCTAAAAAGATATTGCATCCACTACTGGAGAATACATTTCCTCATAATTAACTCCTAGGATTTGTGAAAACCCTTGCCTTACAAGTAGTACTACATATCGCACAATCTCATTCATTTTATTTCTGTTTATTACAGACACCCATTTATAACCTATTGGTTTGACGTCTATGGGTGTTCAGACTTCAGGTCCGAAAATATTTCATTTATCGAGTGACTTATATTCGACCTTCAGGGTCTTTTGCCATTTGGCAAATCATTTATGTACTATTTACATGTACTCTTATTTGAGTTTTAGGCATGTAATCTCTTTTATTGATTACATCCATTGTCTTAGCATATGCAAGAATATCATTAACACGTGTTTCATTTTGGTTCCATTTGTACAGTCTCGTACATAATTAATAGAGATCTCATTTTCATTCGGTACCGATGTTTCTTCAGGAAACTTATTCTTCTGGAATCATAGTAGTCTCTTCCAAGACATTTACCTCTTCTGGAGTTTCATTTTCTTCTGGAATAGCATTAGTCTTCTTCTGGGACAGTTACCTCTTCTAGGGAATCACTCATAATCATGTATGTGGTTTCACTAATAGCATTTTTGCTATCTTCATTTTCGTGGGTTGATGTCTTTGAAGCTGATTATTCTCCCACAATTTCTTTGTATAATAGTCACTTATGGGACTTTCATAGATTAAGCGATGCATAAGATGCTGGTATATGTAACTTTGTCACTCTACTCATATGTGTGAATGCATCTCATAATTCATTTGCTCTACATTGCAAATCGGACTTCAAAATCGCACTGACCACTTCAGGAGTCAAAAATTTACGATGATGATGCATTCCATGTAATTTCTTATATTACCAGTCTTTCTTTATTCACCTCTCCCCCTAAGACTGGGAATACTTTATCTCTTTATCATAAAATTGACAATCAACATACTGTGATGTATATATATATCTCTTGTCAAAAAATACTCTTAACATTTAACGATTGACGAGGAGTTATTTGATTACAGTTAATGGGTTAGAAGAGAATAATAGAACCTACGTAACACCCCCTCCCCCGTGTATCCTGTGTGTTAGTTTATAACAGTTTTCCCTGTTTAAACCAAGAGAAGCCCTCTATATTTCTCATTCTTTGAGTTTTAAAACTTCTAAACTGTAAAATAAATTAGGGAAGGATTAATAAAAATGAACATGTGTACATAAAATACATGTGAAGGAGAACTTCAGGTTCTCATATGTTGGAACTACAGATTCTTTATAATAAGACCATTTTTTTTAATGGTTGAGAAAATATCTAGAATTCACTCCAAACCAAAGTGTTTACAATTGATACATAAAATTCATAATGAGCACTTTATTTGCAATATCTTAGTACAATCTTCTTTCTTGAACTTCAGGTTCACATCTTCTTTAATTGAAGAATATATATAATCTAGCATATGTCATGGAATTTATCTTCCATTCAACTCCTTCAAAAACCTTCTCTCAGTGTCTACCTACCATTGTGGTATTTTGATAATTTCTTTTAATTTATGCCCACTAAGCATCTGCTCCAAATAATTACCACATAAATGAAGATTCAAAAACCAGTATAAAATGTTTTGTTCTCATAATCAAAAGTATAGCCACCAATCCAATGCATTTTGCATATTAACTAGAGCTACAGGCTCTTATGTGACTAATGGTGTTCCACATAACCTATAAATTATGTCCATAGGACAAATATCATAAATTTTGGGTTACGAGTTAATTGTCAATAAATATGACAAATATAACGATGCATCATATATAACATTTAAATTGTGATCACGAATAGTTGATGGGCCCGATCAATTATCTTTGAACAATTTCTTAACATGTATGAAATGAATCTCAAGTTTCATTAGTAATAATCTCATAATAATCTTCTAATGAGAACAAGGTTATAGGATCTTCTGGTCCTAATAATAACAGAAACTTCTAGTCCTTCAAATAGTACTCACTTGAGTTCTTAATGATTTTTTTCTTCACACCACAAACTAAAACGTGATAATTTAATTGGTTATGTTTAGGATAAAAACTAATTCAGTAAACTTCTGGTTTACGTGAAAACAAATCTCGATAAAGTGTCATGTAATATTCATTTCCACTGGTATCTTAAACATTGATAGAGATACCTTAAACAATAAGGATTTAATTGTTTATACCCAATAGAATATTCGTCAATGAAGGACAATAACTATTTTCTCAAAATATTCAATATTTATGAGACCTTTATTACTTCTATTATGCAGTTCTTATTATGCAATGCTCTTCTGGAGCTATCTATCAATTTTGTATAAAAAGAAAATTATATCCACACTAACTTCTTTTATCACAAGAGAAAAGAAGCTCTTACATCTAAAAAAATATAATATGCATAATCACTCCTTTGATTATAATATAATAACTACATCATTCTTCAGGAACATCGATGAGGAATCATATATACATTAGAACAAAGGTCTTGAAATATCAAAACGTCTCTTTTTAATGAGATTTTTTTTTATGTACTAAAATCAGCCACTTCAGGTGGTAATTGAATATTATAAGACCTTAGGTAGTATCTCATATACCCATATATTGTGTTTGATGAACATGTTGACTCTTATTTAATTTAGGAGATTATACATCTTAAGAATTTCTTTTCAAAATTCAATATTCTTCAGGAATATTTAGATTCAAATAGTCAATGTTTAAAAAAAAATGTAATTCTATGTGGCTATAATAGTGACTTTGATGTGTCCATATGTATAACCTCAATAGTTGTGATAGCCTATTATATTCACGCATGTCAATCAATTTTTCACTCGCTTCAGGGAATGAATATGTAACATGATTTTTTTTTTCAAAAAAAAATCTTTCCTAACAATTGAAAACAATGTAACCAAATATTGAGTATATGCCTTTTTTTACACTACCACTTTAGAGGAAATTAGGTTCTCAAACACTATTTTATAATCTCAAACCACATATGACATGCAATTACATATATTGGTCACTCAAATTTTATTGCAACATAGTAATTCACATTAAAATATAATATTATTGCATAAGGAGAGAATGCATTGAACAATGTATATTAAAAAAAATAGGCCATTTTACTTCTGGAAAATGGTAAATGCATTAAAAAAAACTCTATTTTGTTATTCTCTTCTATAAAATAACTTTAAAATACATATCAAATTTGATTCGTTTTGGGGAGAAAATTTGACACTTTGGTTGAGGTTCTCTTTTCTATGTCATGTATCTCTCAGATACGTAGTCAATAAAAGATTTATCACATTTGGGATGGGATCAAATAATAAAATATGCATGTTGGAATCAAAGAATTTAATTTCATGACATGTATTCATGATAATCAAACTATATAGCACATGTTGGAAACCCCTTTTTTTTCAATTGTTTCGTGATATAGCATAGTATGCAGATTGATTCCAAAATTGCACTAAAAAAAAACCAAAAGAAATTTCCAGTAAAAGAGCAGCAAATGAAAATGGTCTAAATCACCATTTTACCATAGGATGTAAATATGTATAACAATTGAATTAATCTCTAAATATGTGTATAATGGCTATGAAAACATCCATCATAATTAAGCTTTATAACGAGCTAATCCTTATGTGCATCCCTTCTAATTATCTTTAGGCCAAATAAGTTTTTTTTTAAGCATAAAACGTTTTATACGGAGTATAATCATACATTATATAGGTGAATTCTCTTTAGAAGGTAATCAAAAACAGCATTTTGTTTGATACTCCGTAATAAAGTTAGCTACTTAAAAATTTGCCAATTTTGATATGCAATTTCAATTTTAATATGCAACTTAAATTTCAACCTGTCAATTTCTGAAAATTATAGGTACCTGGACCGTGAGAGCAGTGATTGAAAACAAATAGCGGACCGATTACTGGCGACCAAGAAATATGATATGTTCAGTGTGCACTGCCCACTTTGCCACAAGCAATGTAAAACACTACTTTTGTTGAAATCCACGGGTGTACTCTGCAATGGGTGATTGTTCCGTTTTGCATACAGATCTGAGATCATCGATCGTTGCTTCCAGAAAAGACCAACTTCACTAGCGGAGCCAGATCGGAGCAAAACGGTACGGCCGGATGTTTCCACCCCTTGACCACTGTCGCCGTCGCCGACAACTTCTCCGCCTCTTTCACCGTCTCCTACTCCCGACTCGAATTCGAACACAATTCAACTGATGCCGTCAAATCGCTCGAAACAGGCGATGTAATCAATGGCGATAGAAGTGGTATTGCCACATTCCAATCCGTGGTGGGGTTAATCTGGATCGACGCCGGCGCTTTCCTCTGCAACCGGCCGGGCTGCCGCCGCCGGTCATCCGGTGATTGTTCCGTATTCTCCGCCATCTTAAGGGTAATAGTAATATATGATAGGAAAACGTATCTTGATTTGGATGTGTAACGGAGATTTGTGTGTGTCACCAATTGTACGGTGTTTGAACGTAAAAGAAGAAGATAAGCTACACGGTGGATCGCGGCAGACTGGAAGGGAGAGGGCGGCCAAAAGAATTAGGGTTTTAGAGACTCATAACGTGTTGTAAACTCAGTACTTTATTCATCATATACGGGGGGTATTTATACATACACGGGGAGAGGTATAGTCTAGGTCAATAAGGAAACAATATATTCTAAATAGAATGAGAAATATATCTGCCATATTTAACAAGAAAAAAATTCAAACTAGATCAATTTTTAAAAAAATATTTTGTTTAAAATGATACCTAAGAATTTAAACAAAAGATACGTATCCCTCCTTCTCTCGCCTCTAATTTCACTTTAGATAACATATGCAAATTTGGGGGGAGTAGATTTTTTGAGTGAAAATTTGGCCAAAATTATGTAACCCTACTAATCCCGCCTCCAATTTCACCCCTTCCCATCGTCATTCACAAACCCTCGTTCAGAAACCAATTTCATTCCTTCCATCATTCAGAAACCCACCTGCTCATCCCATACCCGATTTCCAACTGAATTTCAGCTCGTTTCTTTTGATTTTTGGAGCTCTAGATTCTCTTTCAGCAAGCGAATCCATATAATAGCTGAATCGGTGTGTTTTGAAGATGGATTCTAGAAAATTGAAGGTCAACGCCGATGAATCTACTATTCATCTGCGATTTTTAGACTTCGTTTCAATTCGATCCAGGCATGTTTGAGGGCTAGTTCTTTGAGATTCTAAGAGACTTGGCTTCCTCTATCAAGGTATGATGATGGATTCCCCAACCATTTGAACATGCATTTCATTTGAGGATTTTTTAGAAATCGAACACTATTCATTGTGTGACATTTTTGCTCGATTTGCACTGGTTATGAAGTGGTGTTGGTCATTTTCTTTGTGGATTCTTATTTTGTTCGTTGTGAATTTATTTTGGAGGACCTGTTTGTGTTGGTATTGCTCTTGTATTTTCGATTAAATGGTACTACTGCTCTGAATTNAGCTGAATCGGTGTGTTTTGAAGATGGATTCTAGAAAATTGAAGGTCAACGCCGATGAATCTACTATTCATCTGCGATTTTTAGACTTCGTTTCAATTCGATCCAGGCATGTTTGAGGGCTAGTTCTTTGAGATTCTAAGAGACTTGGCTTCCTCTATCAAGGTATGATGATGGATTCCCCAACCATTTGAACATGCATTTCATTTGAGGATTTTTTAGAAATCGAACACTATTCATTGTGTGACATTTTTGCTCGATTTGCACTGGTTATGAAGTAGTGTTGGTCATTTTCTTTGTGGATTCTTATTTTGTTCGTTGTGAATTTATTTTGGAGGACCTGTTTGTGTTGGTATTGCTCTTGTATTTTCGATTAAATGGTACTACTGCTCTGAATTAGGAATTATTCTGAAATCTTCGGAAGAACACAACGAGGTTCATTGTTGCATTTGGTCTTGCTCTGGGCTTCCTGGTGTGGAATGATTCAGTTTGCTACAATATAGCCAACCTCTTTTCTATAATTTGTATTTTTTGTATTTTTAGCCTGGTGTGGAATGGTACTTTTGTTATTTGTATTTGCTATGCAGTCTTTTTAGCCTTGCATATGTGAAGATGGTTTACTATTGAATCTGGAGGAGGGAGCTTGTAGAGTATGGGATTCGGCGATGCTTCCTATACAGTTGATGTTAGAGAAGTGCTTCAACTGTTTCTGGTTTATAGTTTTTTGGGTTTCCTTCTCCATCATTGTTGCTTGTACACTGTAATATAATATAATGAATGAATCTTATGAATGATGACACAGGTGACCATTCCCACACTATGAAAGAATCACTTTGTTCATCGCGCTCCCCCTCATCCAAGGTTTTTGTCAAGTACACCAAGGCCTTCGGGTTACTGTCATCAGCACCTCTGCCGACAAAAAACAAGAGGCCATAGAATGTTTTGGTGTTGATTCCTTCTTGATCAGTCGTGAGCCTGAACAAATGCAGCTAAGTTATGATTAATTTATTCATAATTAGAGAGTATTATTATTCATTTTGCTAACAATTCTAATGATGATATGGTTTATAATTGGTTTTGGTATATATGCAAAAAAGGCTACAAAGAGCACACTTGATGGGATAATAGACACAGTTTTGGCAGTTCATCTTCTTATGCCACTACTAAGCTTATTGAAGACCAATGGTAAGCTTGTATTGGTTGGTCTCCTGGAGGAACCCCTTGACTTGTTGGTGTTTCCCTTAATCATGGGTATGTAATATTAGCCACACTTCCATTCACGTGTTGTACATATCTTTGCTCCACCTTGGCATTGATCTAAAATGAACTAAATGACATTGATTTCATGTTTTGATTGTGGATCACAGGTAGAAAATTGGTTGCAGGAAGTGGCATCGCTGTAATAAATTAAAGGAGACTCAAGCCAACATAACATCACACCAGATGTTGAGATTGTGCCGATGGACTATGTCAACACCGCCATAGAACATCTAGCCAAAGCCGACGTGAAATATGGATTCGAATTGGATTTTTCCACAGAGGAACAGGATGGATTGAAAAGGCAGGCATGTAGAATATGCAAATTGTAAGGAAGATGATGTAAATATTAAATTATTAGATGTTAATAATATTTTAAATGTATGAATTTATATATTGTTCAGTATATTTTATTTTTTGAATTTATATTTATTTGGTAATCAACACAAGATAACAGTTGTCTAATAAAAAATTCAACTACCATTCAAACTAATAGTTTGAAGAGTATATGTACGACTACACAAACCCGTAGTATTAATAACATTTAGATGATCAAAACAAACAGTTGTTTGAAATACTACAAAAAGTAGTTCATATTTTTAAAATACAACGCAAAATAATGGTTGTCTGAAGCAAATTTCTTTAGTAATCTTTAGAGTAGCTGTCTGATAAACAATTCAACTACTGTCATAAAAGATAGTTTGAATACTTCAAGGAAAACTACAAAACACCGTTGTGTTAATAATCAATATACAACTAAAACAAACAGTAGTTTGAATAAGAATAATGTTAGTAGTCCATATTCTAGAAATACAACAAAAGATAATAGTTGTCTGATGGCATTTTTGTTTAGTAGTCTTCCGAGCAGCAGTCTGATATATCTTTCAATTACTTTTTAAAGTAGATGTCTATATTGTGGAACGACAACACCAAGAATTAGAAGTCTAAAGTTAAAAACAACAGTAGTATTCATTATAGATAGACAATAAAAAATCACAGTTCTCTTTAACTGTAAAAAACAGATGTCTTACTCATACAATGACAACACTAAAAAGTCGTACTCTAAAACATTACAAAACAGGTGTCATCAACCATTTTACACAACTGTTTTTAAACAATAGTCTGTAAATATATCAGACAGCTGCTCGGAAGACTACTGAAATCAGCACCGTGAGACTACTAAAAGAAACAGTTGTCAGCATCT